GTGCAGTTCGACCTGGAGATCGTAGCGTCGCTTGCTTCTGTGTCCCGACTCGCACACTGGACTTTACGCGGGGGCGGATGATTTCCTACGCAATGCTGACCTGCAATCTGCGCTTATTGAGTTACAACCCTGGTCTTTGCGTGTCCGGCTGTGGGAAGTACCTTATTTCCATGGAGTACAAACTGCCGTTGACGGTCCGCCGCACTTTTTGTCTGGATGATTCTGGCTCCGCTTAGCACCGGCCCTTGCGACATCCGCCTCGGTGGGAAGCTGGGCGGTGCTACGGAGACCCTGTGCTGTCACCCGATCAGATATCGTGAGTTGAGCTCGATCTGAACATTGATTCAGCAAATTCATGCGAAGAGTCGAGGACGGTGGCACACGAGTGCTATGGCATGTTCACAGTTGCACACAGCATGCATATGTAAGTTATTTCATGTTACAAAACACCATCTCGACTTCCCATTCTTGGAAAGTTGGCTCATGTGTAGGCGACACAGTTGGCAACCGGACCATATGGCCCGCACCTGGTGTATGTATGGTGCGGCTCTCAACACGGAAGGTTGGCCCGGGCATTTTGCAATGATTGGAGCCCCGCCACTTCTGGGGCGGGCCATCAAGCTGTGGTACTTTCACGACAGGGAAGCTGGGCTGGACCGCAACACCGTTCCTCCTTGCCAGGAGGGCGGACTTTCTACGCAGTGCCGACCTGCATTCTGGGCAAAGTGCGCCGCAAACCTGTCCTCCGCGTGTCTTGCGCGGTGGGGAGTGCCGTACTTTTCTATGAGCCAATGTACAAGCTCCCGCTTGCGTGGCGGGAAGCTCGGCGGTGTCCTTGAGTTGGCCCTTGCGATACCCACTCCTGGGCAGCTGGGCCCATGCGCATGCCACACCGATGGCAACTGGCCCGATGTGGCCAGCCTCTGAGGCGCGTATGCTGCGAGGATGCTGTCACGGAAAGTTGCGCGTTGGCAATTCTGCAATGCTCTGAGCATTGGCCTTTCTTGGTGAGCACTTCGTGAGCGCTCATGGTGTCCTTTGGCATGGCGACGCTCACAGTGTGAATCTTTTCCTGGTTCGCCAGCGGAGTGATAACCTGGATGGCCAGTCGACGGTGCTATTCAGCTTCACTGGGTTACAGTGTACTGCCCTTGCGAGACCCACATGTTGGGAAGCTGGGCTAAACCAAAGATGAGCTATTCTTCTTGACCCATGTTATACCCACTTTTTGGATTGCCGGGTCTGGTATGGCTACTGCACCAAGACTGGGCTAGTCCGCCTCTGCGAGAGCTTCTGTCACATGGTGCCCACACTAGGGCGATTGTGTGATATGTCGGGAGACTGTGTCTACCCAAGTGCGACGCCCTTGGTTGGAGCATACGGTGGAGCTGTGTTGCCATTACGTTACACCTCTGCCATGAAGTGTGCTGGTTGAGGGATGATTGTCGCAAGCTGCTCTTGCTCTTTCGGGAAGGACAACTGAGAGAAGACGCTTCTGAAGGCCGAACGATCCCTGCTGGCTAAGTCTGCAAGTCGCGGCCTGTTTCACCTGACAGGATTCTTTGTACAGTTTTCTTTTGGCTTCTTAGTGTTCTTGTAGTTCTTACTGGGACCGTCTGTGAGGCCCGCCCACGCCAAAAAAGTATGGAGGAGTGGTCCATCCTGCGGCTCCATTTTTCCGTTCGGAGCGGCGCGGATGCCGATCCGGCATCTGGTGGCGTTCCGATGAGAGCACCTGGAGACCAGGTTCGGGTAAGCTGCACCCAAGCACAAAGATGGCAGCGAACAGCGGAATAGGAAGGTTTCAGAATGTAGCACTTTGCAAGTTTGAACGCTGGCTAGCAAATTTGCACTCTCAAACAAAGCTGGCCGCAGCACGGCACCTTTTCTTCCCGCAGACGCCATCATTGACGTGACCCTCCTCCTGGCAGCGTCAGCGGGGTTGAATCTTGTTGTCTTTGAAAACCATTGCGGCAACACCCAGGCACGAAACATGTCGCATATGGTTCCAACAAGTTGGCCCGTCCAGGACTACATCCGCAATAACACCGACGTGGATTGCGGCCAGCGGCAGGACCTCACCTTCTTCTTGAGCACCTAAGATGACGCTGAAGCCCTGCTGTCTACCCTAGTGGAGGGCAATGCAACCCACATAGAAATATTTGTTCTTTCTGTTGCTTAGTAACATCAACTGCCTGTCGCATTGGCTTTCTTTGTTCGCTTGATTGTAGCAGTAATGGCCCAACTCGAAGAGTGCTGTCTTTGAGCAAGTGAGCGCAGACTGCGAATGCCTTGAGCCCGGCTCCGAGATGGTCCTGCGCAAGAATGTTTTGCAATGTGAAGTTTTTCTGAAATGTTGAATGGATTTCTTCAGTGGTTTGCTGAGAATGAAAGTTCTCGGATTCAACCGAATGTAGCATTGAGCCGACTGTCTGCAATGATCACTTTGTACAGTGCAAACTGGCCTCCGAATGCCTTTTCTTTACGACTCGAGTGTCATCACTGAGTCGAGCCAAAAGTCCAGAATGAGGCCAATGATCCTTTCGCAGCTTGCATTGTTAATTGTCTTGGATGCTTCTTTGATCGCTTCGCGAATTCCACTGCCCATCCTCGCTTGTTATTCTTCGAATGATCTTCGACTGAAGACGAGATCAACGGACTGTGTTACATGACACGAGCCCAATGTTCTTGTCATGCTACATTTTTGAATGCTACAATGCCAAATGGCATTGGCTCAAGGTTGGACCAAGCACAAGGGAATGTCTGCTTGAGTGTGAGTGGGGAAAGTGATTGATCTTGGTGTCCCTTTAATCCTAGATTGCATTGTTGAATTTTTCACTTTCTCTCTCGCTCTCTCTCTCTCTCTCTCTCTCTCTCTTTCTCTCTGCTTGCCAGGTCTCAAGGTTTGCCATGCAGGGCTCGCGATTGTATCAAGCCCTACACTTTAAACCAACCCCCAACTTGGAACCTGAAACCCTAATGCCTCATGCCTGAAGCAACCCAAACAAAAAGCTCAAAAAGCAACTTCAATTCCTGAACCCGACGCCCCGAAGTGAACGTGGTATGCCATGCTCTGCAGTCCCGATCAGACTGCCACTGAGTGTCACACGACTAGTATGCTCCATAGTTCGAGACAAGTAGCTATCTCACTTTGGAGTCCTTGAAGTAAGGATCCTTTCCACGTTGATAGTCGGCCCCAGAAGCAAGCGTTTGGCACTTTCGGCCCCGTCTCTTCGAAAGAAATCGAGTATATGACATCCTCCATGCCCTGGGAGCGCCCGACACTGCCATCCGGAAGTGGTGCAGCCCGCCCCGTGGACTCAAGGTTTGCTTTTGGGCCTTTGAGGGTTTGCGCCGTCAAAGCCAGTCTTCTCATCCGCAGGTTTCTTCAGCTTGAGCTCCAAGCTTCAATCCCTAACCCCTTGTTCCCGCCACGCAGCGGCAGAGGAACTGCAGCGATACACGTAAAGCATGAAAGTGATTTTCGGTAGCGGCTAGTCGCCAGGGCTCAACCGTTCAACCCAAACAGCGCCTGGCCCATCTACCCTCCCCTCCGAACCCCTATGGAGCTGTTCTCAAGCCGTTCTCAAGCTTCAGGTCCTACCCTGACACCTGGACAAACGGACTGCGCCCATCCGTGTGCTTCTGGACATGTACTCCCCCGAAGTGGAGGACGATGCCTCAGTTCTTCAACCCAACGCCCGTGTCAGGGTTGAGATCAAAGGGCCAGGGTTTGTCAATCAGGTTCCTACATTACCCTAAATAGTAGTATCCTCCTAAACCCCAAACCCTAAATCTCAAATCCTAAATCTTAAATCCTAAACCCTAAATCCTGAATCCTTAAACCCTAAATCCTAAATCCTAAACCCCTAAACCCCTAAACCCTAAATCCTAAATCCTAAACCCCTAAACCCCTAAACCCCTAAACCCTAAATCCTAAATCCTAAACCCCTAAACCCCTAAACCCCTAAACCCTAAATCCTAAACCCCTAAACCCCGAACCCCTAAACCCTAAATCCTAAATCCTAAACCCTCCTCCTCCGGCACTCCAGCCAGACCCAGGCCCGGGAGCGGGCGTCCGCTCCTCAGGGCACGTGCCTTGGCCCTTAGCAGTTTTGGGGTTTGGTTTGATTTTAGGGTTTAGGGGTTTAGGGGTTTTGTTCGAGGTCTGTGGATTTTTGGGGTTTTGTTTTGAGATTGACGGGTGGGAAGTTTGGGTTTAGATCTTATACTAGTTTAGGGGGTTTAGGGGTATGGGGGATTTAGGGTGCTGGGTTTCGTTGAGAGCTAAGGTGATGGACATTGGAGACGGCAGACGACATGTCAGGTATGCTCCCACTTCGAAAGACAATTTAGTCCTCGAGCTATCGGCCGCGGAGGACCGAGCCTTTTGTCTCTTACAAACAGAATAATTTTTTTAGCGCAAGAATATTGGCACATCCTTTTGTGACCATCAGTCTGTCTTGGAAGATCAGGTGGAAGAGAGGCCAAGTTGGAGCGAAGCGTTGAGAAGGCCTACTTGGTGCAACCGGCACATTTATCGTGTGCTTGGAGCCACTTGTGACACAATTGGACTCATTGGATGCTTCACAGAACATAGCAGCAGGCTCGAGTGCAACACTGACGTAAAGAGCAGCACGCAATCGCCAAGACATTGACAAAACAACTTCCTTCGAATAGCATTTGTCGGTTCATTCCAAGTCGGCTTTAGGCTTCAAGTAGCGCGGGCCATGGCTCCTGCAGAAGAGAGACCGGAGTCAGTGCTGGTGAACACCGTTCAAGCCACAGTTGATCCAGAGCTGGGATTAAACAGTGAGAGTGTGGCAAGTGCGGAGGAACCTCCATGTGCTAGGTTCCAGATGTTTTTCAAGCTCTTTGCAAAGCTTTCCTCATCGCGAATGTTTGCGAAGCTGCACTTCATGGCTTTGCTCTATTTACTTCTGCTCGCTTGGGTGTCGCTGTACTTGCAGTTGCTAACCGGTGACGAAGATTTTGTAAAGATGCAATGGTACCGTTGCCTTTGCTGGGTGTCAGTGGGAGTCAATGGCCTTGTTTTGTTGGGAGAAATCTGGTGGCGGATTTCTTCTGGAGTCAGAGACCGGAAACTGGACTGCCACATTGCCTTGCTGGCACTCCTGATGATGGTGCAGCTTCTAAAAGAGTTTTTGCCTGACGGCTTTGCGGCTGAAATCCAGCATGTGGACTACGCCATGACAATCTTTGCTGCCTTAGCGATGCTGGCGAGGCCTTTACCGGCCGGTGAAGCAGAGGTCACTGGTGCAAAACCAAAAGATGGCAAAGCCAAGCAAAACAAAAAGAAGCAGAGTATGATGGATGGAATCATGCTTGGGCTTCTCTTGATTTGGAAAGCCCATCGCATTGGAGTGATTTGCTTCTTGCTGGTAGCTGTCCTGGATGCAGTGGCCATTCCAGCTACGGCAGCAGCAGTGAAGCAATTGACCGATGCTGTCACAAGAGGTGATGCTGGGGCAGTGATGTCTTCATCAGGGGTTTACATCGCGGTGATCGTCAGCGCAGCACTACCTTTCACACTGGTGATGTATGTTTCAGCGATCATTCTTGCGGAAGGGCTGGTTCGACTGCAGACCAAGATCAGTGAACGCATGATCTACATGGAATTCAACGAGTCTTCCAGGTTTTCTCACGAAGATTGCCAAGATGTGTTTCGATCGGACATTGCACGGATGGAGAAGCTCATGAACATGATGCTGAAGCAGTTATTGGCTCCTTTCATCAAGCTCTTCATCGCTTTGTGCTACGTCACCTACGTGCGAGCAGAAGTGGGGTTTTTGGCCATGACCATGTTTCCATTCATTTTCACCACTGTCCCTGACTCCAGGTAGGAATGACCTGACGTCGAAAGAGAACATGTCACAAACAACATCACTAACACATATTTATAGTACTATATTCATGACTACACAGATACGATGCGACACACTGTGGAACGAAAGATATTCTACAAATACATCATTTAGGATGCACTGTTTGTACATATACATACATACTATGTATTTTCAAGATACGTGTTTAACGCATCCATAGACAAGCTTAAGCGAACAAACACGAAGTTGTCAAGTTCAAGCTGCAATAAACGATTTGCAGGTCGAAGCAGGCCTCAGCAGCTTTCAAGGATGCTTCCTCGAAGCTGGGTGCGGTTTTCTCCAATGCCTTGTCGTGCCATTCCATGATTTGGCATACCGGCACGCAGCAAGACTGGATGAAGGATATTCTATTTCCCCGTAGCTCAGAGGTGAAATGCTCAAAGCGCCACATGGAATTCTGGTCTGGCGTCGTGGGAGGCTACATCACCCAGATGCTTCAGCTGTTCGTGGCCCTTCACGTTGTCATCTTGGCCAACATGGCTGTTCAAGGGACTTTGACGGCGGGAGATTTCACCGGTATCGTGGCGCTCTTTACACAACTTGCCTCTCCAACCACCAAACTTGGAGGATTCGTGAAGGAAATTACGAAGCTTTCTGGTGCCACACAGAGCGTGGCGGAATTTCTGGCTACCAAAAATCAACAGCCAAAGCAATCCTTGTGGGACTTTCAGAGGAACTTAACACGCAATGTCATGGGTCCCGTGGTGTTGCGAGGTCACCAGGAGCCCGAAGAGGGAGAGGTGTCTGACGTGCCCGTGGCTCCTGGCTTTGTCCACCGAATCAAACCAGGATCTTTGGTGTCCTTCACCAGCGAGGAGGGTGGCCCAATGCCTGACTTCTTGAAGCTGTTCAATGGATATGGCGGCAGCCATGGCTTTCATTTGCGTCCCGAGAACTACAAGGGGCCTGGATGGGTTGTGGTGCAACGCCTGAAAAAACGCACTGCCGTCTTATCGAAAGAACCAAGCATTCTGACGGGCTCTGTCCGAGAGAACATTTGCTTTGGCAATCAAGGGATCAGTGAGGAAAAGCTGCTGCAAGCTGCAAGGCTGGCTGGTCTGAGTCTCGAGGACGGTGAAGGGTCAGGGTCGGAAGGCTCCGGCAGCTCCGACGGAACGCAGCTGGGCTTGAACTTCTCCACGCAGCTCGGGGAACGACGCGGCTTGGACATGGAGCTTGCGCAGCGGATCTGCCTTGCACGGGCGATTTGCCGCAGGCCATCCCTGCTGCTCTTGGATCAAGCCACCGCCGGCTGGGCACCAGAGGTGGAAGCCAAGTTCTTCAAAACGGTCCGTGAGTTGCAGCAGACAGAGGGCTTTGCAAACGTTTCAGTGATCAACAACTCCTCCCACATTACGCAGGCGATGATCGATGCGGGCTTCGCTGGGACGGTCTTCAGGATGAAAGATGGTCAACTTGAAGTCGTGGAGTCTGGTCCTTCAGTGCAATCACCTGTGATGTGAAGCAATTAAAACCATGCGCATGACAAGAGCAGTGTGAGTTTTAGTATTTCCATTGCATTCTAGTCGAGCAATTTTTGAATAGATTTTCTTAAGCTCTGCAAGAAGCTTACCGTGGGGCCTTTGTACAGAAAGCTTGGAAAAGGCCTACAGTCCGTGAGTCTCTCATACTTTGCACGAGACACCACCTCAGAGTACAAGCCACCAGCAGCTCAAGCAGGTGTGGGTGAATTGGTCCGTTTGATCGAAAGCATCAAACTGATCAGTTGCTGCGCAACTGATCGCAGAGGTTCTGTGGTGAAGCCCACATTTGCAAGGAATGAAAAAGGAACCAAAGAACCCCTGATGCTTTGAAGTGCCTGGAGTTCATGTGAGACGACATTGTGCGGATGTCATGGACAGCGATTCAGCTCCCAACTCAATCATGGAGGTCCATTTCGACGATCGCATATTCCGAATACGTGTAAGTGGGGTTGATGTGCAAAATGCATCCCTGGCCTGATATGACTTCTCCTTGTCTGGCGCCAGGTCTTGACCTTGGGACGTCAACGGATTTGGGCGCAGTGAGGGCCACAGCCGGAGCTTTGTAGCGACCGTTTCACGGCGAGCTTTGCTGGTGCCACATTCGCTTTGGCATCTGTGTCTGAGGGCTTTCACACCTTTCATGCTGTTGAAATCAAGCTTGGCAACCGTGAGCTTCCTTTTTCATGAAAAGTCGTGGCAGAAGCGGAGTAGAAGTGGGGACATGTGACATGTGCGATCTCAGGGGTTCGCCGCGGTTCCGGGCCAGTTTTCGCTCGCATTCGTTTGCTTGAGCCGAACCAACTCCTTTGAGCAAAGACTCACCAGGCGCGAGGGGGGTCGAGGGCGTTCACTCCAGTGTTCCAGTGTTTGCTTCGCAGCGGCCCAGCACAGACCCTTCAGGATTCGCGAGATTGCCGTACATCCAGACAGCTGAGCTTGCGGCCATGGAGTGCCTTGGCCACACAGGTGTGATAGCATGCGGAACTCTGGACTCTGGCTGGGTGAGGTTCCTCGCGACATTTGGCATGGCTGCCAAGAATATGTTCGACTATAATCGTAACCTGGCATCACTATCTTTATCTTGAGATTCAAGTGTGTCCAGGAAATCCTGCATGAGCCCACTGGTTTCAGGTGAAAACTTCCAGTTCGACCAAGAGCACCGTCTAAGCAGAGAACTTTTACGGCAGATCCTGCAGCTGAAGCGCTTCAGCTTGTTTCGACAGGAGCCATCATGGAATTGGCTGAATCGTTACTGTCACTTGATAAGTTTAACTTTGCCTTGCCACTGCTTCAGTCTTCAGCAGCTAGAGGACATCAGAGATTTGGTTGAGCTGACTGTTGGGAAGACGGAGATGTATCACCTGGTAGCTGCTTTGTTCATGGAGTCTTCAATGGCGCTATACTTCGAAGGGCGCATTCACCATGTCAAGCCCACAACCCGCGAATTCACTAATCCTGAAACCTCCCACCCCCAAAACCAAACCCCAAACCTTTATATACCTCCAAATCCCCCTCCAAATCCCTCACCCCAAACCGCTCCACCACAGGACACCCTTCTTCACTTCGAGGAGAAGGTGCGGGCGGCCGAGGGCAAGCTGGCCGCCATTGAGGCAATTGCCCAGAGCTTTGGCTTCGAGTGCCCCTGACCAGGACGTGTCGTGGGGGGGGGGGGGGTTCGCCTTCTGTTCTAAGCCCGTGGGACGAGCACGCAGCCGCCGAAGGGGATGTGGCAATCCTTTCGCGCAGCATGGACCTGTGCCAAGCTACTGCTGTCTCTGCGCTCGAGTCGCTAGAGTAGAGATGATGGATTGGCCTGGTGACCTGAGCCCTTGCCTGTGGAAGGATCCAGCAGCGCACCTGTTGCAGCGAGAGAGCGTTTTCATCACGAGTTCATGCGAGCTTGGACAGAAAACTGTTTGTGTCGCACGTCTCACCGCTCGCACGCAAGGGTGTCGCACGAAGCAGAATTCAACTTTTTGTGCTTTGTAACCAGATCGTCAGGCTTCGAAAACAAAGGCTGCTATGGGATCGTGCTTGTCAACCGATCATACTCGTCATCTAAAGCCAATCTGAAGTATCAAGAAGCTGTCTGGAATGAAATCGCACGAAACGTCGGTCACCTTATCTCTGTTCTGTCTCCGTCTCTATCTGTCTGAGCGGGTTGAGAGGTGCTTGCAAGCTTGTGTCTTTTGCTGATGCTTGTGTTTTCAGTCTCAGTGCACTCGCATCGAGCAATTGATAACCAGCGATTTTTCTACTTCAAGGTCCATGCGACTTCGTGACTTAGTAGCCAGGGCGATCAATTAGGTAACAAATAATGCGGATGCTCACGATATTCTGAGGCTGGCATCGGTTTCCTTTGGCCCTACGAACGGGTTGCATGGCATGAAGTTGCACAAATCGCCGTGCTTCCAGGCTCGAGGGAAACCCCTTGCTCGGGCATCGTAACCTCAAACCCAGACCCGAAAGCCCCAACCCGAAACTGCAAAGCCGCACCGAATCTTGCGAGACTTTCACCTGCGCACAGCCTTTCGATCTGTCAGCTAAAGCAGAGGCCACCAGAGCTCTCACAGACCCCTAAGCCGAAACCTTTAAACCCTAAGCCCGACACCTTAAACCCAAAACGATTGAAGCTTGAACCCAAACAGGAACCGTGAAGCCGGTAACCTTACGGAGCAAGTTCATATTGCAAACGACCACATGCGCATGTGGACGTGCAGAGGGCCTGGGCAGCTCGGACTTCAGAAGTGCCCATATCCTTAGCAGAGCCTGCGACCGTTGACTTTTTAGGGGTACCATAATCGCCCTATCGGGGGTATCATAGGGTCTACGGTTCAGGCTTTAGGTTTTAGCACTGGAGTAGGCGGCCCGTAGCTTCGTGGTCTAATAAAATTTTCTTGTACAGTCCCAACGGTTAGCTTTTAGTTCCCCAAGGATACTGGACAAGTGTGTATCCTCAACTGGCCCACATGTTCGGGTTTGGGTTATGCTCGAAGCCTCGGGAAATCTTGTTTAGAGCGTATGGAAAATTTGAAGAACATGCAGGAATCCAGTTTTGGAGCTTTTTTAAACTTTCAGGGAATGTTATCAGCTGAGCGGATTGGGTGCGAAAGCAGGACCTAGACCTTAGTGATGACTTGACGCTGCCTGCCTTGGGGAAGGTGAGAACTCCAAGCGCAAGCCTTGATGGGAAACGTCTGCACAGTTATCACTAGGCTTTTGTTGCAGCCAGACCCTCTCAACGCAGGCTTTGCGTTGCCCATGCTTAAGCTATCAAGATCCATGTATGCAGGTTTCCGAAAAACTTAACACACCAGGAGTCTGACAACGAAGTCCCAGGATTCTTCTGGCCCTCATCGCCTTCTGTCCGGTGCCGCGCGCCGAGCGCGACGTCAGCTTCGTGCAGCTGGAGACTGTGCTCTCATCCAGGGAACCAGGCTCTGAGGGAGCTCCTCCGAGCGTGGCTGGCAGCGAAGGCAGCGAAGGTGTCGGGGTCCACTGGGATAGGGGGTTCAGGACTGAAGGTTGGGTGGGTTTCTTCAGGTTTGTTCGGGGTGTTGGCTGAGCAACAGCAGGAGCACTCCCGAGTGCTGGTTTCCCGTTTTTGAGGACGTGGTCATCAGAAAGTTTTCCGATGCTTGCATCACGTGACAGGTTTGGGAAGGTCTTGGGGCTGATTAGGATGTTTTCAAAGGATCTTGTCTAGACCGGGCTGAAAAATACCGCTTGTGAGTAGGGATCCCAGGCCCCACTACCTGATCCATCCGAGGAATCTGCAGATCGGAGGCCAAGATTGATAGTAATAAAAGTAATAATATTAATAATAATAGTATTAATAGTAATAATAGTAATAATAGTAATAGTAGTAATAATAGTAATAATAGTAATAATAGTAATAATAGTAATAATAGTAATAATAGTAATAATAGTAATAATAGTAATAATAGTAATAATAGTAATAATAGTAGTAATAGTAATACTAGTAATAATAGTAATAATAGTAATAATAATAGTAATAATAGACTGCAAAAGCTTGTCATGTCAACAACAGAAGGAGCGAGCAAAAGACACTCGCAACTGACATGAATCGGGAGGGGCTTTGCTTTAACTTGTTAGCCATAAGACAAGCTTTAAGCCTCCGAGCCGGCGAACGGAACCCTTTTGGCGCATGGGTGCCAGGTCATCGTCGTTTTAGGGTTGATGTGTGTGTCGGGGATGAGACAGAAAGCCTGGGGGTTTTGGGATTGTTTGGGGTGTATATCGGGGTTTAGGTTTAGGGTTCTTGTCGTTAGAACCCGGTTTACACGTTTGCATAAGCATGCTCTTGCGTCTATGTGTCTTGAGGACTTTTTCCTGCCCTGGCCTAGCACACACCCAAACCCACCAATCATAAGGCCCCTAAGAGATGACGAGAGCCGAAACCCCCAAGCTTTCCCTAAGGCCCTTAAGTCCTCATGCCCTTAAGCCTTAAGCCCTAACCCAACCCTGTAGCCCCCCGGACCATGAATTTTCCGAACCCTGAAGCACCGAAAATTTTCTAGGGTTTCCCCAAAACCCTGCACTCCGGGATCCGTTGTAGCAACCCTGACAGTAAACGTTTTGCAGCCCTTGCAGAAATGCGAACCCCTATAGAAGCCGAAGTCCTGAACCCGACACTCAGATAGAAACTCCCAACCCCCTAAACCCTAAACCCAAAAACCTAAACCCTAAAGCCTCTCCCTGGAGGCCCCGCAGCAAGACCGTGGGAGGTGTATCACTACCTGGCGGTGGCCTATCACAAGAGCGGGGTGGATCTCATGAGCCTTTTCTGGGTTTACGGTTTATAGGGTCTAGGCGGAATTGCATACGGGTAGTGCAATGGTTTTGCAACTTCATTATATATGTATATATATATATATATCTTTATGTATATAGGTTTCTTGGTGTTTTTGAGATTCTGCAGATCATCCGCTCACAGATACCATTCGAGCTTCGTTTCTGTGGTTGAGCCACGTCACATCTCTGTCTCTCTGTCTGTCTGTCTCACTGTCTGTCTGTCTCTCTGTCTCACGTTCTTATTTGCAGGCTCTGGTGTCGCGGTCGGCACCAGGTCTTAAGGTTCGCCATGCAGGGCTCGCGATTGTATCAGGTCCTACATCCTTAACCATCCCTAAGCTCGGAACCCGAAGCCACCCCAAAACCCTAAGATTCAATGCTTGAACCAACCCTAACTAAACGCTCCCAAACAACCTCAAACCCCGAACCCGAAGCCCCGAAATGACTGGGGTATGCCATGCTCTGCAGCCCCGATCGGACTACCATTGAGCATCATACGGCTAGTATGTATGCTCCATAGTTTGAGACAAGTTGCTACCTTACTTTGGAGTCCTTGTAACAAGGAATACAAGGATTCTTTCCCAGTTGACAGTCGGTCCTAAAATCAAGCCTTTGGCATTTTTGGCCCCGTCTCTTCAAGGAAAAATCTGCTCCATGACATCTTCCATGCCCTGGGAGCGCCAGATACGGCCATCGGGAAGTGGTGCCGCCCGCCCCCTGGACTCAAAGGGTACCGTTTTAGAGCCTGCTGTGCACGGTCGATACAGTGATATACACATCGTCAAAGCTAGTCCTGTTATCCGTGGGTTCTTTGACTTGAACCCAAGCTTCAATCCCTAAGCCCCGGTCCCTGGGGTGTATAGTGGCAGAGGAACTGAAGCGATGCACGTAGAGCATGAAAGTCATCTTCGGTAGTGGCGCATCAGCCCTCGCCGCCGAACCCCTCTGGAGCTGTTCTCGAACTTCAGGTGCTACCCTGACACCTGTGCCAATCCGACTGCGCCCATCCGTGTGCTTCTGGACATGTACTCCCCAGAAGTCGAGGACGATGCCTCAGTTCTTAAACCCAGTGCCCGTGTCAGGGCCTGGATGACAAGTATTCAAGGGTCTATGTTTTAGGATGCAGGGTTCAGGGTTTACGGTTTACTGGGATGATGGGTTTCGGAGTTGGGGGAGGGCTTCGGTTCTGCTGCGCGGCCTAAGTACCACATTCCCTTCCCTTCCGTTGTCTAGGGGTTCCTTTATGGAGTCCCTTGTAGGAGCGTTTAAAGGAGCCCGGAAGCGCACAACCTTACAGGGACCCTACCCCGGGCAAAAGATCCATCAATGTTTAGGGTCTTGGTTCAAGCTGGCAAGTCCCGACAGTCACAACTCTTCAGCCCCTCCTGTCATACCTGAACTCCAAGCATATATTCTCTAAGTCTCTAATTCTTATATGCTGAACCCTGAACACTGCACTTCGAACTCGGGGCCATGCACCCTAAACCCTAAATCAATTCTCCCGAAACCCTGAGCCCCCAACCCTACACCCTAAACCTCAAAACCCTAAACTCCAAGCCCCAAAACCCTAATTCCCAAGGCCCAAATCACTAAACCCTACGTCGTATGTCCTAAACTGCCCTAAACCCTAAGCCCTAAACAGAAAGCCCTAAGCCCCAAACCCTAGACCTTGCGGATTCCGCCGACTTTAACTGCAAGGAGGAAAAAGGCGTTCAACAAAAACAAACCCCTAGACCCCTAAAGCCCGAAACTATAAAACACTAGGACTCGAAGCTCTCCAGCACTCAGGTTCCTACATTACCCTATATAGTGGGATCCTTATCCCCCGGCC